GTGAGGATCATCTGGGGAGATTTTGAACGGTTTTCTAGGCTTCATTGTAGACCCCAAAAAGAAGCAAAAGAGAAACTTTGTTAACTGCTTTGCCAAGACGCAGGTGTGTACATCTGAGCCGTGTGACTGAGCGCTGGCTGTACACAGCAGTCTCCTGGTCTCCCATCTCCTCTCAGGACTTAGGTCGGTGGCCTTCTGCTGGGGCCCAGGGCCCATCTCTCCTGTTAATGCTTGCAGAGCTGTTAAGTAACCATCCCTCTCTGCCATGCTCCACACTTCGTCCTGGAGTGGGCATCGAGCTCTCTGGACTTGAGTTTGGGGTGTGGATGTTTTCCATTTTCAGGAGCTGGGTGGCACCCCTGGGCTCTTTCAGTTTCCCTCTATACACTGAAGTCTACTTGGGCTCAGAAGTGGACCTCATTCTAAGAAGCATTGCTCTCTTTCTCCTGCACCACCTGCCCTGGTTGGGAAGCCTGCTGTCCCCATCAAGAGAAGGAACATGTGAGCTGCCTGGCGCTTTCCCTTGAACTCTTCTCTCTCCATTTGTCAGCACTGCGCCATCAGCCCTGAGCAGCTGATTTGGGCTGCTTCTTGCTCTGAGCAGAACTGAAACAAACCTTTGTGGGAGTGTTGTTTGTAAGCGTCTGTCATTCTTGGCTTTGGTCTTCCTAACTCTGTTCTAGAGCTGGGCTACTCTTGTGATTTTTATCAGGTCCTTTCTTCTGTCATTTGTAACATCCTTTTGAATTCCACTTCTTGGAGTTTACATTGGTTTCCTTCAATTCCTTCCCTAATTCTTCACTATCAGGACCATTCTCAGTTATCGGGGCACAGTTTTGCTTGAGGGTTTACAACCATCTTGAGGGTTTGAGTCATCTGGCCTTTTGAGTCTCATATATTCAAATGGAACTGATCTCTGAATGTTTCCGATTTTTCTTCTTTCTTCTTCTTCCTTTTTTTTTTTTTTTTTTTTTGGAGATAGGATCTCACTCCAGTTGCCCTGGCTGGAGTGCAGTGGTTGTAATCTTGGCTCACTGCGTAGCCCTGACTGCCAGGGCTCAGGTGATTCTCCCACTTTTCATCCCTCAGCTTCCCAAGTAGCTGGGACCACAGGCGCACACCACCATGCCTGGCTACTTTTTTTTATTTTTTATTTTTATTTATTTATTTTTGAGACAGAGTCGTTCTCTGTCACTCAGGCTAGTGTGCAGTGGCGCAATCTTGACTCACTACAACCTCCGCCTCCCCGGTTCAAGCAGTTCTCTGCCTCAGCCTCCCAAGTAGCTGGGATTATAGGTGCGTGCCACCACGCCCAGCTAATCTTTTGTATTTTTAGTAGAGATGGGGTTTCACCATCTTGGCCAGGCTGGTCTTGAACTCCTGCCCTCGTGATCTACCTGCCTTGGCCTTCTAAAGTGTTGGGATTACAGGCGTGAGCCACCGCGCCCAGGCTGTATTTTTTTTAGTAGAGACAGTGTTTTGCCGTGTTGGCCAGGCTGGTCTCGAATTCCTGGGCTCAAGCAGTCCACCCGCCTTGACCTCCTAAAATGCTGGGATTATAGGCTTGAACCACTGTGCCCGGCCTGAATTTATCTTCTTGAAGTTGTTTTCCTCAGTGGAGGCATGATTGGCATTTTGGGCTAAATGGTTTCTGTCCACAGGGCTGATCTTGTGCAATGCAGGTCTTTTAGCATCCTGGCCACTCATAGTGCCCGTGGTTCTCAGTGGAAGCTGTAGAGGACGTTGGGAAATTGGGGTGGGTTGGTCACAATGCCTGGCATCTGTCTCAGGGTAAGGAAGGGCCTGGGAGGCTCAAGTGCAGAGTCGTATCTGGATTCCCGCAACACCCTGTTGAGAAATTTTCTTCTATGGAATGCTCATCATTCTCTGAAGATGTCAGGGCCTGTTTGTTTGTTTGTTTGTTTGTCTGTTTCTCTCACTTCTACCTTATAATCAGTTCTTCCTTGTTGGTTAGAATTATGTAAAGGAGGTTGCCTCTTCTGTCTTTGGAGAGCTTAACTTGACGGCAAGGTAAGTTAGGAGTTTGTCTGATAACCCTGCTTTGGATTCTCTGAGCTTCCCAGCCCTGTTCTCATTAGCATCCTCAGGATTACCCGTTCTTCTTTCTGGCCAGGTGTGTGGCTCACTCCCATGGCAGTATTGCTTTTCTCTTTGTGGATCCCCTGGATCTCCTTGATCCCAAAGCACCAGTAAGTGTCCTTTCTGCACCCCTGCCCATAGTGCTCCTCACTGACTGCCTCCTCTCCTTTTCCTTGAGCAAGATACAGGTTTTCACTCTCATGTTACAGTTGAGTTCCATCTTGCCATATTTTTGTAATTCTTGTGGAATTTACTTTGTGTTTATCACCCATACTTTTTTTTTTTTTGGGAGATAGTTTCGCTCTTGTCGCCCAAGCTGGAGTACAGTGGTACGATCTTGGTTCTCTGCAACCTCTGCCTCCCGGGTTCGAGCGATTCTCCTACCTCAACCTCCCAAGTAGCTGGGATTACAAGTGCCCGCCACCACGCCCGGCTGATTTTTGTATTTTTAGTAGAAATGGGGTTTCACCATGTTGGCCAGGCTTGTCTTGAACTCCTGACCTTGGGTGATCCACCCACCTCGGTCTCCCAAAGTGCTGGGATTACAGACATGAGCCAGCGCACCCGGCCATTGCCCATACTTTATACTGTTGGAGTGTAGATTTTTGAAACCATAAACTATTTACAGATGATTTTAAAATTTGTTTTTTCCCATAAATATTCACTGTTGTTTCTTCTTTTGTTAGTTGTCTAGTTTCAAAGTTCTATCTGGCATATTTTTTTCCTATCTGTATTTGGTTTAAAACATTTTGTTTGCTAGGATTCCAGCCTTAAGGGACATGCATGCTATATTCTGTCTTTAGCCAAAAATCTTACTCTAGTGTCTTGAGCCAAGGTCAAAAAAGCCAAACATTGGAATTGTAGTTATAGAAAATCCTTCCCACCCCAGATTCTTTTTTCCTCCCAAAGCCCCAGCTTCCCATCTACCCACCAACCTGGTCATTAAGCACATGTTTGAGCACCACTGTGAGCTAGGCCCTGGCAGGACCGGGGCTTCCTGATCCCTGCCCTCGTTGAGTTTACATTCTATTTGGAGAGTGGAAGGAGGTGGTAGTGTGGGTGTGAGATGTTTTCCCCTTTCTGAGTCTGCCGAGGCTTCATAATCCCCAGGGGAGCATTTCTGATGAGTGAGCAGGAGGACCAGGTAGCAGCTGGCGGGTTGGAGTGGTCCCTCAGGTTCCGTACCTCCTTATGCAGGGAAAGAGGGACCTCATGCAGGTGGAGAAGGGCCAGACCACTCCATTCCTCACTGCAGGAGGTTGCAGTCCATGCTGCTAACACCTCAGGGAGAAATAGATCCGTCATCTCTCCCAGCGGTGCCTCTTCTCACCACAGGCATAGCCTGTGAGAAATCCCTGTATTCAAGATCCACCCACCCTTGCTGGACCAGAATTTCTGGGGCTCGACCCAAGTCCAGGTGATCGTGGTGGGCAGATTAGGGTGACAGGCAGGAGCACCCTGTTGGGGGGAGAAACTTGTGCCTGTTGCCTGCTATGAAGCACCAGCGTGTTCCACCTCTTCCGTGCGTTCATTCAGCGCGCACTCCCTCTCTGCTGCTCTGGGCCGGGCGCCCAGTACATCTTCCTACTCATAACCAGTAACCTGAACTCTGGTTCCCCCTTCCTTGCAAATTGTTTCCTTCCCTGCCTGTGTAGCCTCAGGGTGCCTTTTAAACTACCACTGTATGATGGAAGTATGAGCTTTTTGGGCTTGATGTGAGGGCTGATAGGGAGCCCCCATGCCACTTTGAGTTGAAGCGCCATATAAGGAGGTTCTGGAGGGTGCTGGAGCTGGGCCAGAGAAAGCAGCCTGGCAAAGGAGGCAGGGCTTAGCTGGATGGTGCTCAGGCTGCAGAAGAGAAGGTGCCTGACAGGTGTGGAGGCAGCTGTTGTGCCACTGGATGGGAGGCCGGGCTGAGGCGGGTTAAGTGGCACTCGTGTGTCAAGAGTGGAGGAATGTTGGCGAGGCTGGTGTGCTGGCGGGAGGGCATGCTGGGTGGCTTGGGTTATAGCACCTGCCAGGCATTCACTGAGGTGTTGGAGGCAATGGGAAATGTCAGGCTGGTGCACAGTTGAAAAACAGGTGACAGTTCTGAAGACATCTCAGGCAGGACCCTGAAGTCGTGAAGTTGTGCTTTCTGGGTGAAGTGGCACTTGCTGCATTGACTGTTCATACACCAATAACCCCACATATTTGCAAGGGGTCCTGTTGCCCACAGCATGGCTTTCCCTTCCTTTTCTGCATTCTGGGTCTGTTTTGCAGCTGAGGAAACTGAGGCTCATTGAAGGTTTCCCGTCCCCACTCCACCCCCACTCCCACCCCAGTCCCAGACTGGATGGTTCTCTTTGCTGTGTGCCCATGTTGAGGTGGAGTCCTTCTGAAATCACACTTATAGCATTGGGTAGAAAACTGGATATGTGTTTGTGTCTGGTTTGTTCCCAGTCCCTAGTTTTATTCATCTTTAGGTTCTCAGCATCTGATGCATAATCAGTGCTTAATGAATCTTGATTGGAAGGTATCAGGTGTACAGCACCTCAGTATAGCTCCTGCCACGTGTCTGCCCTATGCAGGGTGCTGAGGGATTTAAACAGGCATGATGACCAACCCAAAGAGGAGGTGGTACATCTGCAGAAGCACAGTTCCCCCTGTCATGTTTAGGGGGTACACTGAGGTGGGGACTTGTCTTGGTCTGGGGCATGGGTAGAGGCAACGACCTTGCAGAGGGGACCGCCATGGCAGCTCCATGCCTCCTTAACCACTCCAAGCACAGTTTAGTCCTCACTCTTCAATTTTGACATTGGCATTGTTGGCACTTGGTTTAATTTGAGGGCATCAGGAGGGATCTTAATATGTGGTGCTTTCCCCTATTTGACACCCCTTTATGCTTTGTCAATCAACAGGAGCTTGAAGAAATCCGCAAATGTGGGATGAAAAACTTCCGTAACATCCAGGTTGATGAAGCTAATTTATTGACTTGGCAAGGGCTTATTGTTCCTGTGAGTATTGAACACTTCCACTTCCTACCAGATTATTCTTTAAGGTGATGTGTGTGCTGTTGGGCTTGTTTTTCTGCTCCTTAGTAGGCTCTTAGTCTAGGCAGCCAGCAGATGCACAGAAGTGGCTGTCGCTCTAGGGTGATAAGGTAGGGAGTGTAGCCTTGGGTCCTGAGTAGAGTCACATCTTGGCACTGGTTTTGTCAAATTCAGGGGCTCTTGAGCTTTGCAGATCTGTGGACACAGAGAAAAGGAGTGTGTCTGTGCTCCTGCTCTTTTCCTGGCTTCCCTGCGCCTGGCCTGATGGATCAGTAGGACCTTCTTCTCTGAGCTCCTTGGGAGGGGACAAGCATTCCCCTCTAGATGTTTTGCTTTCTCTCTTGGTTTTGCATTCATGTCTCTAACCCTTTGGATACCTGTATTTCGGGCTTTATTCCTGGTCCCCTCCAACCTGTGCCTTCCGTTTGTCTCAAGTCCCTTTTCCTAATTGCCCACATGTTCACCTCACCCCATGTCTTTTTCTGGGGCTTATGCCTCCAGAGTCTGCCCCCACAGCCCAGTTCCCCCATCTCACAGACTTCTGTCTTCTGATGGGCTCAAGCCCCTCTTAACAATGGCCTTCCCTGGAACTTAGCACCCTCTTAGTGTCTACTCTTTTCTGCATCCTTTCATCCCCTCCCCTTCAAGAGCTTATCTTATAATTAACTCCAGTTTGCAGTCCCCCTTCCTCTCCTGAAACCACATCACACCCAGCCCACGGGCTGCCCCCACTGTTATCACACCTCTAACTCGGTAGCGCTGGCGTCATGGCCTTTGCTTGCCTCCTGAGCTTTTAGAGCATGGGCAGCGTTCCAGGCCCCAGTCCTGTGACCAGCCTGCCACTCTCTCCTGTCTTGCCACTCCTTAGCCTCCTCACTCTTAAACATGGCTCTTGTTAGTCTCCTGCTGTTCTCCTGTTCTGTTTTGTCTCTGGGGACCCTACTACTTTCAGCATCATAGATGATTATGCTGGACGTGAAGGATTCCCACACCTGTCTCCATTCCTGCCTTCTCCCCGGAAGCTGCACCATCTCTCCACCAGGCAGCCTCACTTGGTCGTTGTGTAGCCTTCCAGCTACCCCAGCTCACAGCCTTGTCCTGTGTGAGTGCCCTCCTTTCCTGTTCTTCCTCATCCACTCACCTTCTTTCTTCCTTTTCTTTCCCACTTTGCACATCTGAGCCTTAGGCCCTTGCCCTGTGCCTAACCCTGTCCTGTATGTAATTTTTTCTCATGGATGGATTGGCTACTTTACCAAAGCAGAGCATGGAACATGCTTCCTCCTATAGATGCTTCTTGATGCTGGTTATAAGGTCATGCCTTTTTTTTTTTTTTAAAGTCCCTGAATTTGATCAGCAATTATTGGATTTGTAGTTTATTTCCATAATCATTTGGATAACTAAGGAAAGATATGCTTTGTAATGATTTAGTATGCTCAGAATGTTTAAATCTGGGAGCTTCCAGTCTGATTTTGAAGATGAGTCCTTTAGATTTCTTTAGGCTTGATGGTGTTAGGGCTCAGGGCAAAGGGTGTGGGTGGCAGAGACACCTCTGCATGGGAGAGGTTGGCCTGTGAGTACAGCCCTTGCCTACTCTAGGGACCTGAAGATGGCTGGGACCATCTGACATCTTGTCCCCTTTCTAATTGAGATTGTGTAGCCTACCAAGCAAAGAAGTGAACAGTTAATCTGTGGCTCTTTGGAAAATGATAAAAATGAATGGAATGCTTTTAAGTGGTAAGGCTTGGGCAGTCTGGCCCTGAGAGTTTAGTGGCCTGAGAGCCTGCTAGCCGGCTCCAAGGGTAAACTGCTGCTGGGCATGTTCTGCCCCAGCTCATGCAAAGGCCTCACTCTGGTTTCACGCTGGCAGGGGCTGTGGAGCAGTGGGCTAAGATCTTACTAGGCCAAAGGTGGAGGCTGGCTGGTAGAATCCCAGTGCGCTTGGACTGAGGCTCTGGGGAGCTATCCAGGCCAAAGTTTTGCCTTGGAGACAGTAAGCCACAGTCAGGGCTGCTCTTGTGCCTGTGTATACCACTTCTTCTCGGTCCTCTCCCTTGCTTTCTTCCAGGGCCCTAGGTTTGTATGAGGAGTGTTTCAACAAAGTCTTCTTCCTTCTCCAGAGCAGTTAAGACATTCTTAACATCTGACATCCCCAAGGTCCACACTTGTACCCCAACCTGGGCCTTAGGTCTTCCTGCATTGGACGGGCTGGGCCAGCATGGGAATCTACTATACAAATTCACCTGAGGTGAGGTCTGCCCAGTTGGGATGAAAGCAGAGCCAGGTCGATGAAGGCATGGCAGCCCAGCCCTGGTCCTTAGTGGAAGGTGCTATCCTTGGGTAGCCACTTAGTGATTGCCCTGGTCGTAGTGCACAGAGGAGGGCAGGTGGGAGGGGAGGCTGGAGAGGTACTTCCTAGAGACTTCATTGTTGCCAACACAACTCAGGTCTATTCCCTTTAAACATTTGTTTTTCTGTAATTTTTTTTCATCGAAGATTCTAAGGTAACGTCTAAGGAAGAAAATATTACCCATAATCACATCATCAAGAAATTCAGTTACGTTTTGGGTATTGCCCTTTAGGAACTAGAGATATGGTGGTGAACCTTCTTGAAGCTTCTAGCCCAGTGAACGTGTTTACTCTTAACCTTCAGCGTACTTCCACTCAGCCTTTTTTCATGCAGTTTTTTTTTTTTTAAATTGAGATGGAGCCTCGCTCTGTCGCCAGGCTGGAGTGCAGTGGCATGATCTCTGGTCACTGCAACCTCTGCCTCCCGGATTGAAGCGATTCTCCTGCCTCAGCTTCCCAAGTAGCTGGAACCACAGGTGTGTGCCAGCACACCCAGCTAATTTTTGTATTTTTAGTAAAGACGGGGTTTCACCATGTTGTCCAGGATGGTCTTGGTCTCTTGACCTTGTGATCCACCCACTTCGGTCTCCCAAAGTGCTGGGATTACAGGCATGAGCCACTGTGCCCGGCCTTCATGCAGCTTTTAATAAACCATTTCATAACTTCATAATAATGTTTTGTTGTTTTGAGGCAGAGTTTTGTGCTAATCACCCAGGCTAGGGTGCAGTGGTGCCATCATGGCCCATTGCAGCCTTGAATTTCTGGGCTCAAGAAGTCCTCCTGAGTAGCCAGGAATACAGGTGTGTGCCACCACACCCAGCCAATTTCTTTTCTTTTTTTTTTTTTTTGAGACAGAGTCTTGCTCTATCGCCCAGGCTGGAGGGCAGTGGCATGATCTGGGCTCACTGCAAGCTCCCCCTCCCGGGTTCACGCCATTCTCTTGCCTCAGCCTCCCTAGTAGCTGGGACTACAGGTGCCCGCCACCACGCCCGGCTAATTTTTTGTATTTTTTTAGTAGAGACAGGGCTTCACCGTGTTAGCCAGGATGGTCTCGATCTTCTGACCTCATGATCTGCCCGCCTTGGCCTCCCAAAGTACTGGGATTACAGGCGTGAGCTACTGCGCCCGGCCGCCAATTTCTTTTTATTTTATTCCATTTTATTTTATTTTTTGAGACAGTCTTACTCTGTCACCCAGTCTGGAGTGCAGTGGTGTGATTTCGGTTCACTGCAACCTCAGCCTCCTGGGTTCAAGTGATTCTTATACATCAGCCTCCCGAGTAACTGGGATTGCAGGTGTGCACCACCATGCCCAGCTAATTTTTGTTTTTGAGACAGAGTCTTGCTCTGTTACCCAGGCTGGGGAGTGCAGTGATACGATCTCAGTTCTCTGCAACCTCCATCTTCTGGGTTCAAGCAATTTTGGCTAATTTTTGTACTTTCGTGACTGGGTTTCTCCATGTTGGCCAGGCTGGTCTCGAACTCCCGACCTCAAGTGATCCACCCGCCTCAGCCTCCCAAAGTGCTGGGATTACAGGCATAAGCCATTGGGCCCATTCTATAACATCTTAAATTCCCACTGCAAAGGTTCCAGTTTGTCCACATCCTTCCTAACATTTGTTATTTTACTTTTTTTCTTCTTACGTTACAGCCATTCTAGTTGGTATGTAGTGCTGTCTCATTGTGGTTTTGATTTCCATTTTCTTCATACTAAGGATGTGTGGGTTTTGTTTGTTTGTTTGTTGTTTGTTTGTTTGTTTGTTTTGAGACAGGGTCTCACTTTGTTGTCCAGGCCAGAGTGCAGTAGCACGGTCTCGTCTCACTGCAACCTCTGCCTTCTGGGTTCAAGTGATTCTCCCACCTCAGCCTCCCGATTAGCTGGGACTACAAGTGTGTACCACCACAGGCGGCTAATTTTTGTATTTTTTGGTAGAGACAGGGTTTTACCCTGTTGGCCAGGCTGGTCTCGAACTCCCGACCTCAAGTGATCCCCCTGCCTCAGCTTCCCAAAGTGCTGGGATTACAGGCGTGAGTCACCGTGCCCGGCCTGATGCACTAACATTTTAAATTTTTTAACTTAATTTTTATTAGAGACAGGGTCTTGTTCTGTCATCCAGGCTGGAATGCAGTGGCTCAGTAATGGCTCACTGCAGCCCCAAACTCCTGAGTTCAAGCAGTCTTCCCAAGTAGCTGGCACTACAGGCACATGCTGTGACACCCAGCTAATTTTAATTTTTTTTTTCTGTAGAGATGGAGTCTTGCTGGGGCTACAGGCATGCACCACCATGCCCAGCTGATTTTTTTGTATTTTTAGTAGAGACGGAGTTTTGCTGTGTTGCCCAGGCTGGTCTTGAACTCCTGGCTTCTTTCACCGTTTTGCAGTTTTATTTGTAGTTAGACCTCTCACCTTCTTTCTGCAGGCTTATTTGCACAGCACGTTGCTCCTAAAATCCATGCCCTCCAGATGCCTCATTCCTCCTCCTCTCTACACTGCCCCTCTGGCCTTTGTTGGGAGCTGCATCCTGTCTCCCTGGGCTCAGCTCTTGCCTGTTAATTGTCAGTTCTTTTCTGCTTCCTACTAATTGTGCTACTCTGCCTTCTCCTTCCGCTGCTTCCATC